GGCCTGCAATTTTTACTATAGGGTACTGGCTCAGTGCTTTATAGAACTGTTAAGTAGACACAATAAAACATTAAACCTAAATTAAGGAAGGTGTCATTATTTTAAAAAATAACCAGTTTTGAAACTGCTTTTTATACTTTTCTTAAGCAATTACAATCTTCATTTTAACTACTTATAGCTCACAAATTACATTCTTAATGTAACATCGAAATATAGAGCCATACATAAAATTTTAAAAATAAGCTCTATTTCTACCAGCTGCAAACACAAATTTTCAGAAGAAGAGCATCAAGAATCAATGTCTACTTACTTTATTTATACTTTGCCCTATTTAAAAAAAAAAAAAAAAAAACCTGAGTAAGGGGCCAGGCACAGTTGGCTCACAGTGTAGTCCTAGGTACTCAGGAAACTAAGATAGAAGGATTGTGGTTCAAGTCAATCAAGTAAAAAGTTCACAAGATCGGATCTCAATCAATAAAAAGCTGAGTGTGGTGGCACATGCTATGCAAGAATCAGAAATAGAACTGTGGTCCAATCTGGACAGGAAGAAAGACCCTATTTGAGAAACAACTAAAGCAAAGGAGTTGGAGCATAGATCAGGGTAGAATATCTGCCTGGTAAGTGCAAGGCTCTGAGTTCAAATCCTACTACTGCAAAACAAATAAACAAAAAAGGACTGAGGGTACACAGAATATTCAGAAAACAAACTCAAAGAGTATTCAGCTCAGTGTTTCAACCAAAATAATGTTTCCACAGTTCTTTAACTTTGCATGTTTAGTGTTGAGATTCAACTACAATCTTGCTAAACACAGTAGGGAAAGAAAGGACAAAAAAACATTCTCTTGTTTGAAAACAACACTTACATCAAACTGGGAATTGTCTTTACTACAATGGGAAAGATAGTAAATGACACATATTAAAAAAAAAAAAAATCCTTGAAAGTGGGACCAGACTAGAAGAAACGAACTTTCTTTTAAAAGGTAGGATTTAATTTGGATACAAATTAATGCATAGATTATTTGCTTTATACTCAAGTTACCCATTTCAAGAAATGTATTTACAAGATTTTTTTAACTAGTACTTCACTCTAACCTGTTATAAATGAGCGGTGTTTTGGAGGGAGGGGTGTACACAGGTGCATGCATATTGGTCCTCCGGCTTGAACTTAGGGCCTGGGTGCTATCTCTGAGCTGTTTTGTTCAAGGTTAATGCTTTACAACTTGAGCCACAGCTATACTTCCAGCTTTTGGTGACTGGCCTCAAATAGTGATCCTCAGATCTCAGACTCGTGAGTAGCTAAGATTACAGTCATGAGCCACCTGGATAAATTGTTGGGGTTTTTTTTTGGTTTTCACTTAACTTTTCAGAAACATAATACTGTCAGTAAAAGGAAATGTTAAGGGGCACTAAAAAACAAATACAATGTCTCTCTACAGTATCTCAGCTAAGCTGTTTACATGATTCTCAGATCCTTCAACTAGGGTAAAAAAATGTTTGCTATTTATTCTGAAGCGCGTGCGCGCACGGGCGCGCGCGCGCACACACACACACACACACACACACTAACTGTATCAAAGTTGAAGAGGGCAAACATGTCCAGATGGTTATTTGAAATATTAACATCAGCAGTGGTAATTTTAAATAAAGGAGATGACATTTGCCATGATGCATATGTACTGAAGGAGGGCAAACAGCATAGTGCCAGGTACAAGGAAGTCAGGTTTTCTCCAGTTGGAGCTATAAACTTATATTTCAACCCCAAAAAAGTTACTTAGCATTATAATACAAAAATTTAAAGTTAAAAAGTCAAAATAGAGTCAAAGAGAGGTTTGCCCTACTAATTAATAAGACTTCATTAATTAACTAGGCGCTGGTAGCTCATATGCCTATAATCCTAGCTTCTCAGGAGGCTGAGATCTGAGGATTGTGGTTCAAAGCCAGCCCAGGCAGCAAAATCCATGAGACACTTATCACCAATAAACCAGAAAACTGGAAGTGGCGCTGCAGCTCAAGTGGTAGAGTGCTAGCCTTAAGCTGAAGAGCTCAGGGACAGTGCCCAGGCCCAGAGTTCAAGCCCCATGACCAACAAAAAACAAATAAAAAACTTCATTCATTAAAACTAGAATTAAGGCTGGGCATGGCACAAGTGTTAAAGTGCCCATCCCACAAAGGTAGGTAAGGCCCTTACTTCAAACCCTGGTTGGGGTAAGGGTAGGACCCCCTCCCAAACCCAAACAAACAGATCTGGTACACAAACTAATAGATCTATGAAGCAGCACTGAAAGCCTTGAAGCACACTGAAGTACAAAGAAGAATTTAGCCTGTGATAAAAGACAGCATTTTCAAAACAGCAGGATAATCAAATGGTCATTTGACAAATGACTTGGGGACAAGTGGCTAAATATTTAAACAAAACTAAAATTAGAGCAAAGGACTGGGAGAATTAAGAGCAACTTGTAAAAAAAATAGGAAAAGGATGAAAATTCACAATACTAAAAGGAAATAGTAACTGGGAATGAGAAAAGATAAAAATTATTACATCAAAGTCAGAAAACATACAAGGGGAAAAAAGGACTTGTCTATCTAAAACACACATACACTTTTTTCAATGTTAAATATGTGTGGAGTTGAAAGATAGAAACAGATAACAGAGGAATTAGCTTCATATTAAAAGATGAACTTGGCAGCAGACTGCAGCACAAGAGTATGAGTTTGTAACTTACAAATGAATGTAGCTAACACACAAGTATATGAAAAAGAGTTTAATGGAACTACTAATTAAATGGATGAAAGTTAAAAACAAAAAGACTGTGAAAAGCCTAATAAGGAAATTGGGTTTGTCAAACAATATTACCTACCAGGACTAGGAACAGATACATTTGTATAAGGCAATATTATTGTATCCATATTTAAAACAGCACCACTTCAGGATAATTCTTCTCTCAGAAAAGTAAGGCGATATATACATAGGAATTCATCACAGGGGCTGACAATACAGCTGGGTGATAAAGTGCTTGCCTAGCATGTAGGAGGGTTAGATTCACAGCACCAAAAATACATACATACATACATACATACGTAATCAGAGCTGTTTGATAAACTGGAAACAACCTAAATGTACATCAATAGCAACAAATAATTATTAGCTCATAAATTAAAACCCCATGCACCCACTTAAAATGATGGTATTCATGCATTTACTGTCATGAAAAACAATAGTCATGACATTTTATAGCCTCGTGTGAGCAATAGCCTTGGCTTTTTTTTATTCTTCATTCTTATATCTAGCACCTAGAACAATCCCTTGAACAAAACTGCTTCTCAGTAACAATTTACCAAATAGATGAATTTGCACAGGTTACAGAACAATGATCACAATATGGTCCCCCCCCCAAAGTAATATAATTGGAAAGATAGTCACAAAGGGGTCATAAAATAATGTTTTGGTGTATGTGCTATAAGTTTGTTTTCATTTTTCTCTGTACTACTGTCTACATTTCTTTTATGGGGAGCCTTTTTTTTTCTTTTTGTGTCAGTCCTGGGGCTTGAACTCAGGACCTGGGGTCTGTCTATCCCTGAGCTCTTTGGTAGTTAATTGGAGATAAGAGTCTCACAGACTTTCCTGCCTTGGCTGGCTTTGAACCATGATTCTCCTGAGTAGTCAGGACTACAGGTGTGAGCTGAGCCACTGGCACCCAGCAAAGCTTTTTAATTTTTTTCTCTAAAGAACGCATATACGTAAAATGCACTTCAGAATGTGTCCACTGACCACAACTCAGAAACTCCAAATTCTCCAATAAACACTAGCAAAATGGCCCCATTTTCTTTCACTTTCAAAGAAATATTAGTGTATCATTGTACCTTGTGCAAGTAGCATCTTTCTCTGGTATCAAGACATTCCCCATTATATTGAAAAAAGGTAATTTTTCCCCAAAAGAAAAGCACACTTTTTGTATTAAAAAGTGGTATTGGTGTTGGGGAAATCCCAGCATGTCTTAAAGCCCTTCCCTCTCCTTCTGTACGCCTCATTCTAGTGCTAATATTAGTCCATTATTTGCGTGTGGGGAAGTCCCCTCTGCTTTTGCAGGTCAAAAAGCCCTGTAAACTCATACTGTAGGTCTCTACATAATGCTTTCATTTACACAGGCAGGCTTCATTTTAAAGATATTGCATTGAAGTATCAAAACTAGCCCCACGTCATACCTCATCCTTTCACCCTGCTCTCATTTATTTACAGGCTTTATCTGGAATGTTCATCTTCTAGAATGGAAGCTCTGTGAGGTCCTGCTCCTCCCGAGTCTCAAGCCCAAGCACAGCGAACTGGACAGTAGGCCTCAAATTGTGACATGACATGGAAGGCAGGAGAAGGCTGCCAAGCTCAACAAGGCAATGAATGAAGAAAATAAAACAACCATCCCGAAATGCCCCTACGAACGTTTTCCAAAGCCCTAATGCCAGCTCGGGGGTTGGGTGGACATTTTTCAAAAGGGACAGGTGCTTCACACCTAGCCAAGCACATAGAGCGCCTGTCCAGAAAGAAGAAAATCCACAGGGAGGTCGCTGGAGTGGAAACGATCATCACCTTGTCACTTGTAACAGAATGTGGCCTATGGGGCGAGGGACGCAGGGAGAGAGAGAGACAGGAGAGAGAGAAAACACCATACATCTTGGCCCAGATGGGGGGTGGGGGGGAATCACACGATTCCCTACCAACACAATCAAACCAAGCAAGCACCCTTCCGCCTGACACGTAGGAGCGGTCTCGTTCCCGGCGCTTCCAGCCACCAGCGAACCCCTAGCCCCCTCTTCCCTCACTGCCCCAGCGCTCGTCCATCCCAGGACCCTCTGGCCCCACAGGTTCAAGGGGAACCGTCTGAGAATCTGCTTTCTCCACCCCCACCCGAGCCCAGTCCCCTCCAAAGCGCAAATGTCTCCCAGCCTCGCCTCTCCCCGAGGCTCCGACCCTCGCCACCAGCTTCCCCCGGACACCCCTCACTCACGTGTAGATGATGGCCATGAAATGCATCAGCCACAACACCAAGAAGAGGATGAACCCGAACACGGCCATTCCCTCCAGGGCCAGGTCCAGCAGCGCCATCCCCCGGCCCGCCGGCCCGGCCCGGCCCGCTCCGGCCGCCGCCGCGGACAGCGATCGCACCGGAGGAGGGCAGGGTGGGCGCCCGGTGCGGGGGCGCGGGAAGCGAGAGGAAGGTGGGGGAGAGGAAGGGACCGAGGGGGGTGGGGACGGAAGGGGCGGGCAGGGCCTGCGCGCCCCCGCCGGCGCGTCCCCGCCGGCGCGCGGCCCACGGCGCGCTCGCGGCTGCGGAGTCTGCGGTGGCCGCTGTCCCGCGCCCCGGCTCGCGTCTTCAGACCTCGGCGGAGCCACCGGCCCGACCTTGCGCTCTACCCCCACCCCCGGCCCTGCCTCTCCGTCACCCGGCTTCGGGCGGTGCAACCACACCGCAGCGCCCCGCCGCCACGGCTCCGCGCTCTAATCGAAACCGGCGGCTAATGCCGGGACTCTTAGGCGCTGCCTGCCCGGTCCCCGCCCTGTCCCCGCCTTGTCCCCGCCCTCCGGTTCCGCGGCGACCACCCTCTTCCAAGGAGGCGGAGCTGCCGCTGCTCCCCGCCTGCCCGCGCGCGCGCGGCTTCGCCGGCGAGAGCGCGTCCCTGGGCGGCTGCGGCCGGAGCCGAGCCCCGCTGGCCTCCCGCGCCTCTCACCCGCGGCCTCCCACCTCGCCGCCCAGGCGCCGGGGACCCGCAAGCCTTGCAGCCAGGCCTGGACTCCCGGCTTGTCCTGCTCGGAGTCTGCACTTCGTCTGTCTGACTCTGTTCTGGGGCTCCCCACAGAAAGACCCAAGCGGCTCTGCCTTCCAACGAGGTGGCTGCAGCCTCCCTGCCAGGGCATAGCTCCGAGCACCTAGGCCTTCCTCAGGGCCACGTTCTCGGGCATCAGGGTCCCCATCACTTCCCCCAACACGTGCGCGCACCCCCCCCCCACGCACACCACACACGCACGCGCACGCACCCTGCCTGCTCAGAGCTGCGAAATCTTGGTCTCTAGGTATCTTAAAGACATTGTCCAAAGAGAAAAAAAAATACCTTTTCCCTGACCTATGTAACTGTAACCCCTATTTTTTTTTTTTTAAAGACAGTAGATTATAAAAGAAAGTCCCAAACTGCTGAAATGTCTTGCGATTGCGCTGTGCACTTTGGATTAGCCTTACGTGGCTAAGGAAGCCCTGGAGAGATGCAGCTCTTTAAGCATGTGTTGTTGGTGTTCACAGATCATTCGTATGTTTTACGATCCCATGCTGAAATAACAAATTTTGGATGTATAAGGTCAAATTCAGTTAGGTTTTGTTTTTGTTTTTGTCGGTTGTGGGCAGGGGTGCTGTCCCTGAACTAGTGGAAGGCTAGCACTCTTCCACTTTGAGCCATAGTCCCAATTCTGGTTTTCTGGTGGTTGATTGAAGATTAGAGCCTTACTGACTTTCCTGCCTGGACTGACTTTGAACAGGGATCCTGAGATCTCAGCCTCTTGAGTAGCTAGGATTATGGGGCATGAGCCACCTGCCCACCTCCCCTCCTCACCCCACTCCCATTCACCTAAGTGAAGTAAGCCAGGCCCAAAGAAACATAGGTCCCATGGTTTCCCTTATTTGCAATATCTAGTATATGTATGAGTCAAGTGGAAAAGGTCAGATAATGTGATGTTAGGAAAATGAACCCTTAGATACGTATTTTAATGTTTTTTTTCCTTTCATGCATTTGTTTCTAACGCATTTATAAGATTATTTCTTTGTTGCTTTGTATGTCCCTCCCCCACAGTATAACCCCCGCTTTCACTATATTTGATGTCAGTATAACTTGTGGAGGAGATGGGGAAAAACAAGTCGTTTAAGGATACAGGTGGACCTGTTGCAACAATGAGAAGTACAAGTTGTCATGTCGAAAATGAGCTTTACAACGTTGGTGCGGGGGTGGGGGTGGGGGGAGGATTGGGTGGGGGGGTGGGGGGGGAGGCTGGGAAGGGATGTGAAGGGTAAACAAAGGAGGAGGCTGCAATGCTTGATAAGAAATGTACTCATTATCCTGCCCATGTAATTGTAACCCCTCTGTACAGTATGTTCACACACAAAAAAAATAAAAATAAAACTGTTAAAAGGCCGGGCACCGGTGGATCACGCCTGTAATCCTAGCTACTCAGGAGGCTGAGATCTCAGCATCACCGTTCAAAGCCAGCCTGGGCAGAAAAGTCCATGAGACTCTTATCCCCAATTAACCACCAGAAAACCGGAACTGGCGCTGTGGTTCAGGTGGTAGAGCGCTTGCCTAGAGCTGAGGGATAGCGCCCAGGCTCAGAGATCAAGTCCCACCACACACACACACACACACACACACACACACACACACGTGTCACTAGCTACTAGAGAATTTTAATCACAAATGATAATACTTACACTGAGTTACTTTGAGGACTGAGGGCTGGGTGCCTGTGTCCACCTCTCCAACCCAGCCTCTATGAGGCAGGAGGGTGATTTGTATGTAAGCACAGCAGTGCACCCTGGGTAACATTGAAACTCTGTATCAGAAAGAAAAGCACGAAGGGGGGCTAAAAGTAATTTAGTATTTATCCAAATTTTAAAACAGGGCAGGATATGCTGGTGGTAAACGGTTCTGTTTGTTTCTTTAGCCTGGATGAGTTTATTCTGTTGTTCAATTGTTTTATGTTTAAACAGCGCTTATTATTTCAAGTGACTTCCTTTTAAATATCTATGACCTCCCTAGAGAGATTTCAGAATTGAATTGTTTTGAAAAGAAATTGTTTATTTTATTATTGCTATTTATTGTAGTTGATAGAGATAGAGCTACCCAGAAGTAGGATTTAAATGATAAGCTACCAGCTGGAAAACAGTTTTAAGTCTGAACTGAGAATCAGCCTAGATTTGAGATGTCCTTTGTTCTAGTCATGTGGCACTATTTGGAAAGACTGGCAATCAAAAATTAAATTCCCATTGGGGAACTACAGGGTGATAAAGTTAAAGTTACAGCAAGACAGAAACTTTTTCCTCCCCCCACCCCTACCCCGGCCTCAGCTGGAGGCCAGGGTGCTGTCCCTTAGCTTATTTTGTTCAAGGTTAGCACTCTATCACTTTTGCTACAGCTCCACTTACAGTTCTTTTTGTGGTTAATTAGAAATACGTTCCTGCCTGGGCTGTCTTGGAACTACAAAACTCATATCTCAGCCTCCTGAGTAGCGTGGATTACAGGTGTGAATGAACCCATGTCTGGCATGAATTAGAATCCTTACCATGGAAATATCATCACAAATTTTAAAGTCAAAGCATATTTTTTAAACACTTTTGAAATTCTTTGCTTCTCAGTTAATGGTAACTTACAAACAATTGGCTGATTTTGTTCGTACTGAACATCTTAGGTATGTACAAAAACACACTGTGTCTTGTAACTAATACCTTTTAGATATGATGAGTAGCATTCATTGCTTTGAAGTACTGTATCATATTCTGCATTTTTAAAGACAAACCTTAACTAGTATACCTCCTCCTTTATCTTCCAAGATAATGTGACAGAGTATACTAGGGTTAGAGGTATTGTCCTATAAGTAAGTAGGTGTTTAGCACATGCAGGGGTGTGAGTTTAATCTCAAGCATCAAAACAAAGCAATTATGCATCAGGGACCTAATCATACTAGAAGACCTATAACAAAGCCTCTCCTCTATTGATAGAGTCAAATGATTTCAGTGTTGGGTATATTTTCTGTCAGTTTTATGCATTACTTCATATAATTAAAAAAAAACAGCAGTTAAGGCAAGGGTATTATGGTACATACCTATAATCCCAGTACTGAAGAGGCAGGGGCAGGAAGACTGAGAGTTGGAGACCAGCCTGAATTATATATTGAAAGCCTCGCTCAAAAAACTCAAAACAAATACAAGGCCTCAAACCAATCTAAAACAAAACAAATAACAAAATTTAAATCACAACTCCATTGTCTATGGTTAGTTAATATATTCTTATTATATTATTAGTAGTAGTGCTGGTCCTGGGACTTGAACACACAGTTTGGGTGCCGTGCCTGAGCTTCTTTTGTTCCTAGTGTGGAGCTCTTCCACTTGAGCTACAACTCCACTTCTGGCTTTTTTTTTGTTTTTTTGTTTTGGTAGTTCAGTCTTCTGCCAAGATTGCCTTCAAATCATGATCCTCTGATCAGGGCCTCCTTAGAAACTAGGATTACAGATGTGAGCCACTGGTGTCTGTCTTAATGTGTTATTTTTATTTATTTATTTATTTTATTTATTTTGTTGGTCATGGGGTCTGAACTATGGGCCTGGGCCCTGTCCCTCAGCTCTTCAGCTCAAAGCTAGCACTCTACCACTTCAGCCATAGCACCACTTCCGGCTTTTTTCTGCTTCTGTGGTGCTGAGGAATGGAGCCCAGAGCCTCATGCATGCAAGGCAACCATTCTACCACTGGGCCACCTTCCCAGCCCTTAATGTGTTTTTTTTTTCTTTAAGATAAGCATATCATAAATTTTTCAGCCCAGTGAAAACTTTTTAACAATAAGGTTAAAAAAAATAGGTCACTGAGGGAGGGTTGATGGAGAATGATAAAAGGGATGATTGTATTCAAGACACATTGTATTCAGAAACTGCTTTGTTGAGTGGCAATTCCTTTGTTCAACTACTTAAAGATAATTTTTTTAAATGGCTTCCTAAGATTTAGAAACAAAGTTACAATCAGTTGACTGGAAATTTGTGATGCTAATGTGAGAGGAGTCATGATTCCAGGTCTTTAGTCTTTTCTAAGTACATTTTGAATCAGTTAAAAACAAAGTCTATGTTTTTGCTCAGGGGGTTAACTTGACAGTGGACTTTGTTAAAACTTTCAAATCCTAAGACTCCACAAAGTGAAGTCTTCTCCTGAAACAAAGATTCCAAGAAAATTGTCAGCTAGGGGCCTCATCCTGTTGACAAACAGCTGTGTGGAGTATTTCCATATGTGGGTGTGGTCTGGAGTTCACTGGAGTTCACCTATCAGCCGCCAAGCTCTTACCCAAACCCCTGAGATCTGCTTTAGCATGTACTCATTCTTCTCGCAAATTCTTATGTTTGGTTTTAGTTAATCCATTTTGCTAGATTGAGGCACAAAGGTTCATTCTTAAGGGAAGTTAAACTTAAAGGATCTTTAAATATACCCCATGCCTATTTTACTTTTAAACTATTTGAACATTTAAAAAATTTTTTTAT